TAAATGAAACTGTTTACAAATTCGTTATTAAACGAAACCACTGTTAAACCGTTACGAAAACGGTACCGACACAATCATATTAAAATCATTCCGAAATGAGACGACACAAGACTGTATCGAGACGAAACCGTCACAAAGCAGCAAGCAAAACACACGTACACATAAATATCGTTACAAGGTGTAAGGGTTCCAATGATGTTGGCGATACTACCAATAATAAATTAGTTATAAATACTATCATTAATGCTACAACTCTAGAAGTAGTAGTAGTAGTAGCAGCAGTGATTGTAATTATAGTGGTAGAAGTAATAGTAGTAGTGGCAGTAGTAGTCGGGATTACATATTTGTTTTACTTTTTTAAACATTCGTCCATTCATTCATTCTTTCATTCATTTAGATTTTTCTCACTCCATCCGAATATTGAATTGGTTTCTGAGCTTTGAGAAGGCTACGACAATGACGTCATAAAATGATGATGACGACGATGATGACGTAATGATTGGGATGATAACGATAAGGACGATGATGATGATGATGATGATGAGGACGATGTCTGGAGCTGCAAAAGTTTGATAATGGAAAATTAAAATAAAAAAGGAAACATTTTTTTTTGAAGAGAAAGAGAGAGAGAGAGAGAGAGAGAGAGAGAAAGAGGGAGAGAGGGAGGAAAGAAAATACGAAAAAAACTTTTAGTGCGCTAAATTATAACGAAATTAATATTTCACAGATGGAATATCGAAAAAAATATAAATAACAATAATAACAATTATTATTATTATTATCATTTTAATAACAATAGCTATAACAAAATTATGGATGTGTATAATTTCTTTGCTGACACTACATCGGGTCCTGGAATATATCATTGGAGGAGTAGGAGGAGGAAGACGACGATGTTGTTGTTGATGACGATGATGATGATGATTGTAGTGATGATGATGATGGTACTGATAGTGATAATGATGATAAGCATATTGAATAAAAATTTAACCAAATGGATGGATGGATGGATGGATGGAACGATGATGTTAACAATTATCGTGATGACGATTTTCATCAATATGAGTGACGATTGTGGCTATTATTATTATTTTTGTTGTTGTTGTTGTTATTATTTTGAATGTGACGATGAGGATGACATCACTGATGACGAAAGCAACGATGATGACGCTAGCGACACGAACGGACAGCCACCGACCACGAACGAACATTACAATGGGCAATAAATTAAATCACAGCTAGCATCCCACTATGCAATTCATTTGTACAAATACTACTGCTACTACCACTACTGCAGCTACCACCACTACTACTGCTGTAGCTGCTGCTGCTACTACTACCAGTACTACTACTACTACCATTACAAATACTATTATTACTAGCGACATGCAGAAGCTCTCCATTAAGTCGTCAGTCGAAAAAAAAATTCTGTGATGGGTCGATATTTTGCAGAAAATTGAAAAATAAGGTGACTGTGTGAGTGTGCGTGTGTACGTGTGTGTGTGTGTATGCGTGTGTGTGTGTTGTATGTACATGTACACACATACATATAATTAGAATACACACATATAACTCAAATTTTATGATAGTTAATGATACAACTCTAAGGTAATGCAAATTTTCTTATACATTCGTTGGTTCTCATAAAAACCTCAATTCCATAATTAACCTTGTATTAACAATATGCTTAGAATATATGTATATATATATGTGTATGTATATATATATATGTTGGTAATAGACCATAATTTTTACAATATTCTATAAATTTGTTAATATGTTTGTATTTTTCTCACTAGTGAGAAAAATCGAAAAAACGAACTACAAACATATTAACGCCAAACATTCGGTAGAATTTATAGAATATTGTAAAGTATATATATATATATATATTTATATATCTATATATGTAATTAAGTTACTTTATTATGAAAAGCGCTAAACAAGGCTTATTTGGAAATAAAAAAAACATACAATTAATTTTTTATCTTTGTTTGTAATCTTTGTCGCGGGACCCTGCGATATTTGATTTTGATCGGAATTTAAATTACTCTTTTCGGGCGTTCGGTTGTTTCAAATTTGTTCAAATGCATATTTATCTTTTTAAAATTTGTTAATTTTCATTCGGTTGAAATTTTATTTAGTTTTGTTTCAAAAAATTTATTCGCGATCTACCTGCTCGAATTGGACTTTCTCATCAATATGTCTGCCAACGTGAAACGATTGAGGAGTAAGAACATCGACGGTAATGTAATAATTAATCCTAACTGCATCTTTAAACCACCTGAAAATTTCTAAAAATAAAAATAACTTTCATTTTATTTGCCCACTAAAATGTGAAATCAGTGACTGGGTCCAATCAGCACATTGATGGTGTCAGTCTTTTCAATGAGATCAAGAAAAAAATAAAGGCTGAATACGCAAGAATAAGGCACTGTAAAGCTGTTAAAAGAGCCGAAGATGTCAAAGTTAGATACAACTAGATCACTCTTTTTTCAAATTTCCTTATTTTACTTTTAAATTAGAAAACTATTTTTACTTCTTAACTGGCATCATATTTTAAACTGCTGCAGAACCTAACATCTTTGAATCAGAAATTTTTATCGGATAAAAGAATTGATCGTAAAATGAAAGATGATCAACGATTGGTCAAAAGATTTGTCCCAATAGAAACACTCAAATTCACATCTGTTAACAAAAAAGTAATTAAAAAGTTAACTAGATTAATTATTATTCAATTATTTACAGTTGTAATACTAACTCAACTTTTGAATTAGCAATTTCATTCATTACAATTTTATAACACATCAATTGAATTTTCAATGTGCAAATTGATCAATCATAATTTAATAAATGCATTTATTGGCATAATGCAATTCCAATTAACCCTATTAACAAATACATATAAATAATTCCACTTGCTGACCAATTAAAATTTAATAGTTTAACTCATTTACTCAATTAAAATTTAATAGTTTAACTCATTTACTCAATTAAAATTTAATAGTTTAACTCATTTACTAATAAAAATTTAACAATTCTACTCATTCATCGATCATAAATTAACAATTTTATTCATTTTCACCAATTATAATTGAATATTTTTACCAAGCGGCCAATCATAATTTACTAATTCTCTTCCATGGCCAATCAAAATTTAAACTCTACCTTCTCCAACCAATCAGTGCACCTCAAAGAGTCCTCTATTGAAGCAGGAGCAGTCGATCATGTGCAACTTGTTGCCATCTTGTTGTTCGCTGCCAACCATGTACAGCTGGGCACCTGTCCAACAGAATTTTATGGTCAGTTGTGATTTCAATGTGATTTTTATATGTAAGATGTTCTTCCTTTTTTCTCTATCATCATCGTAATCATCATCATCTTATCTTCATCCTTGTGTTGATGGTGGTGATGACGATCGTAATGGTGAATGACGGCAACAGGTCGAAGATGAGACGACTCTGCACAACATTCCCTACATGGGCGACGATGCTCTCGAGAAAGACGGTGGCACTTTTATAGAGGAACTTTTGAAGAATTACAATGGAAAGGTGACACAGATGACGTGATGATGATGATGGTGGTGATGATATGATGTGATGATGATGATATAGACTATAACTAATCCTGTTATTGATCAAATTTGTCATCATCATCAGGTCCATGGTGACAAGCTGGAAGACATAATGCAGCCAGAAGTAATACATGACCTAGTTACATCTCTTATGAAATCAAACACTTTTGATTTGCTGCTGAAAAATTCGGGTCAGTTCAGTGGGAGGAGCTTGTTTGTTGTTTTTATGAACAGCCGTATTAAAATAATTAATTGCAGTATTCAAATAATTGTACAAGTTTCAACGGCAGCATTAGTAGTAGTTAGTAGTAGTAGTGGTAGTAATAGTAGTAGTAGTGGTAGTAGTAGTGGTGGTGGTGCTTCATTTGGTAATGTGGACAGCGTTACAAGTGTCTTTGCAGACCTGTATTGATAATGATGATGGTTTGGTACTGATGATGATTGTATTGGGGATGATAATTATTCATCTTTTTTATCATTTTTATAATTTATGACCTTAAAATTCAGAGAAGGTGAAACTTCCGAGCACGATGGAGGGCACGTCGACCAGGAGGTGTAGGAAGTTGTCCAGAAATAGGAACAACAACAGCGTGAATAGTAACAGAAACAGCGCATCTGTAATAAGCATCGATGGCGATGAGGAGGAAAATAGCATGAACAACAGTGGCGGTGGCAATAAGAAGAAAAATGATGATGACGACGACGATGATGATGATGACGATGATAGCAATTCACCAAAGAGTCTAGATAATATGAGCATAAACTGGCTGAAAAACTCGATACAACATAAAGAGACAGTTGAAAAAATAATCAATTTCATCTCATTGACATTTCCTACGAAAGGTTCCAAATCTGTCCTGGAAAGAAGGTGGCTGATGTTTTTTATTTTATTTAAAGAAAATTATATATTCAGTTGTATATTTATAATTATTTTATTTGTTTTTTATTCACCAAATTGGTTATTTTATTTTGTGTAAATTTTGACTATTATTGATTGAATTGGTTTAATTAATTAAATAAATCAACAGTGGCAATTATCATAATGTGTTTTTTCTTTATCCTGAAAATGTTAAGGTTCTATGAGAATGAGTTGAAACAGCAACAAGTTCATCAACAACAACAACAACAGTTACTAAACAAAAACCTAGCGGTGACATCATCATTATCATTTACGTTATCATCATCATCATCGCTGCCGTCATCATCATCAACAGCTTCACCCCGTTTAAAAACTTCTCCCCAATCAACATCAACAATGATGATGATGATTAGGAACAAGTCACCATCCCTACCCACTTCGTCGTCTTCATCATCTTCGACATCGGCAAAAATGACGTCCTCCCCAAATAAGTACGCCCACTCACCCAGAAAAATGGTGACATCAACGACAACATCAAGCATTGATGTCACTGCTGACAGTGCTGACAGAAATATCAGCAATCCACCATCCTTTCTTTTGTTGACAACCGTAGCTCCTACCAATAACACTGCAAATACTTGTAACAATAGTTCTAGTAACATTAGCAGCAGTAGTAGTAGTAGTAATAGTGGAAGTAGTAGTAGTAGTAGTAGTAGTAGTAGTAGTAGTGGTGGTGGTGTCTGTTCTGGTAGAAGTTCATTTAAATGCACTTCCTTATTGATGTCTGCTCCGTCTTATTTTTCATCGTCTTTGTCATCATCGTCGTCATCTTTATCATCCTTAATTTCACTGACGTCATTAGATATGTTGACAGCAACATCAAGCACATCAACGTCATCTTCTTGTAAAGACATCAAATCTAATGCAAGCAACTTGTCACCATCATTAATGACATCAACAACGACAATGATGACATCTATTATGCTCAATTCATCACATCTTCATAGAGGCACGTGCAAGGATGTAGCTAGCTCATTGTACAGTGACAGCAACAACATTCCATCAACTATAACTAGTTCAGATGATCTCTTAAGCTCAAATACAAAGACAACAACAGCAACAACAACATCATCCTCATTAATGTCACCATCACCAGTGGTACCAGCATTAAACTTACAGTGCACTCCAAATATTGATGGCCCAAACGCAAAATCAGTCACCAGATGTCAGACCATGCACTCATTTCATTCACTGTTCTGTAGGAGGTGTTATAAATACGACTGCTTCCTACATCGTAAGTATGTATGGTGGTGTCATTTGGTGGGAGTATGAATATCGTTGTAATGACATTTCAATCAATCAACTTAACATTTCAATGTATGAATCAATGAACCATCATCTCATCAATCAATGAACCTTGCAGCCTATAAAACAAGCAGTTCGAACGTGGGCAAGAGAATTGAAGTTTGTTCAATGCCGTTAGAAGCCTGTGGACCTCAGTGTTATCTCGTATGTATTTAACATCTTTTGTCAGTCAGTTTTTTTTAATAAATTTTTATTTATAAATTTAATTTTTTTTTTGTCCTTCAATAAATGTCATTGATTTGTATCTATATGTGTATATCTACAGCTATCTCTACCTTCAACTACAACATCAACTGCAACAACTTCAACTCTGTCAACTTCAACTACAATTAATGTCACTACAGCGTTAGCTGTAGTGACATTGTTACCAGCTGCTGTTACCAGCACTACAACAACATTGATGAAGTCAGCAACGACTTCCTCTTCTACTTCTGAAGGGACATCAATCATAGTCGACGCAAATGTTAGGAAATTAGGAAAACTAGGTAAACAAGATGGTGATGATGTCGATAAAGATGGTGGTGATAACAAAAATAATAACGCTATTGATGATGAAGAAGATGAAGATGATGAGGATGGAGATGATGATGAGGAAGAGGATGAAGTTGAGGATGACGAAAACGATGATGACAGTAACAGCAATAGCAACAATAACGTTAATAACAATAGAAAGCCAAAACTCAATAGAAGTAATTCTACAAATAGTATAAAACGCTGCTTCAAAAGACATCGCAATATCAACAACAATCTAAATAATAGAGATGGGCGCTCTGGAAGGAAAAGGAAAAGAGATGGGCAAGTCAGTAGTTCAGCCAGTACGTGCAGTGAGGAAAGTGAAGTTACCAATGAGTTGTATGGTTAGTTGTTGGGATTATGCCAAGATTTTGAACCTGATACATTAATATTAATTAAATCGTAATTGAATTATGTTTGCTGAACCTTTTTTTCAGATTTGCCTCCTCCTCAGAATACAACAGTGGACTGGTCCAATGCTGAAAAGTCCATGTTTAGAGCCCTGGTAAATGTACTGTATGGCAACTATTGTGCAATAAGCAGGGTGTTACAGACCAAGTCTTGTCTTCAGGTCTGTTGTTAGCTGTGGCATTTAAAAAGATTCTTGATTATATGAAACGTATTTCATTTCTGTTCATTTTAATTACAGAATCATTAACATTTATTAATATTGAATTTTTGTTTCTTATAATTAGAATATGTAACTAAGTAGTTATCCAATCACAAACCAGGTTTACGAGTTTGCCAAACTGGAGGCAGACTTTCTTCCCACTCCCAATCTCGAGGCTGATAACAAGGAACCAGCAAAGAAGAAGAAGAAGAAAAACAGATCGTAATTATTTTAAAACTATATTTTTGTTTTTCTTCTCTTCTGTTTCTTTGTTTTTTTTCTACATAGGCGATTGCATCAAATGTAAGATTTCAATTGATCCCAATTTTAAATAAGAATTGATAAAATAAATAACCCATCCATAAATTTATCCACCAATTCCTAACTTCAGAATCTGGACAATGCACTTAAGAAAGACTCAAGTTAGGCGAGATCCGACTGCTAGTCATGCCCACAACTACATACCATGTGACCATCCAGGTGTACGCTGTGATGAGTCGTGCAGATGTGTTCAGATGCATTTCTGTGAGAAGTTCTGCCAGTGCAGTGTCGATTGTTAGTTCTACATTAGGTGTTTTAAGTAAAAAACTCCAAGTAACTTAACAATGATATAAGATTGTTACGTTGCATTGCTCGCTAAATTCATTATAAAATTGAAGACGTGAAACAGCATTTTGGACGCAAACAGTTTAAAAAATCAAGCTCATTATTAAAGATATATTGTCAGTAAAAATAATTTTTGTAATTTATTGAACACAGGTCCAAACAGATTTCCAGGTTGTCGCTGCAAAGGACAATGCAACACGAAACAGTGTCCGTGTTTTGTGGCCGTTAGAGAGTGTGATCCTGATCTATGCCAGACTTGCGGGGCTGGTAAGTTGCTGTTGTTTGCAGTTTTGCTATTGTCAACAATTTTTTACTATAGAATAATTCTGAAAGTTTTTTTTACCGTATTGCAGATCAATTTGACTTGAAAAAGATTACATGCAAGAATGTTTGCGTTCAGAGAGGAATGAAGAAGGTTGATTTCAAGATTTCGCATTTTATACATACATGAATGAGATGAGTAGTAACGTTCAATTTTGAAATTGTTACCTTACTTAGCATCTGTTGTTGGCTCCCTCCGATGTTGCTGGTTGGGGCATATTCTTGAAAGAATCCTGTGAGAAAAATGAATTTATATCAGAATACTGTGGAGAGGTTAGCGTCAAGTATAAATTTTCTAATCATTCACTTATGAAAATGGATGATTCATTTATCCAATCATTTTGCGTTTTAATTAATCGGTAATTGTTGAAACTGGTAAAGCTGACAAATTACAAACTTTTATCTCAGGTGATAACTCAGGATGAAGCAGATAGAAGGGGCAAAGTTTATGATAGATACATGTGCAGTTTTCTCTTCAACCTTAACAGCGGTCAGTACATTCTGTGATATCTTTTTATGAATCTACCATCTTATCAAAATTTGACTCGCTTCTTTTGATCTAGGTAAATATTATGCATTAATTTAAAACACATAGATTTCGTTGTTGATGCCACAAGGAAAGGGAACAAAATAAGATTTGCCAATCACTCCATCAATCCCAATTGCTATGCCAAGGTACATCACTCGGATTATAAACTAATTTAACATAATCGATATTTAATTAGATCAATCAATAAAATTAGATATTAACTTCGTCTGTATGGTAGAGCATATAACTGACACTTAATTAAGTCATTTGAAAATGATAACAAACAAACGTTAAATATTTATAACCAGGTCATGATGGTAAATGGCGATCACAGAATTGGAATATTTGCCAAAAGGGCAATACAGGCTGGAGAGGAACTATTCTTTGATTACAGGTTTCCAGACGTTCTTAAAGCTAAAATAATAAACAACCTATAAATTGATAAACCAGATAGTTAATTGATTAAGCACGTTGTAAATGCATTAAGTAAATGTACATTAAAATGAGCATAACAGATAATAGAAATTACCTCTGGAACATATTCTTTGATCAAAACAATTTCTTTGAAATTTTAAAAGAGTATTAAACTATAATAGCGCCATAAAACAAAACTCAAAAACTTTCTTAGTTTAAAAACTTGCTTGATTTAAAAAAAATTTTAATCTTCAGATACGGTCCTACGGAACAGTTGCGATTCGTCGGCATCGAGCGAGACATGGAAGTCATACCATGAAGTTACTAATCATTCGGTCATATAATTACGTGATTGCCTCGATTTGACGCCGATTGATCTGTCACGTGAAACAGTCCTTGTTTGTTACCAGTGCTCACAGCATAATAAATCAATCAATTAGTCAATCCATCCATCCCAAATTACTGTCATCACAAATGTCAACGTTAATTTGGTGTGAATTTATGGATGAATGGCTAATGCATGTTTTGCATATGTGTGATGTTTTGCATATGTGTGAGTGTACATACATGTAAAATGTAACATAGTAAATGAAAAACATATGAAATTAATAAACTAAAGAGAAAAAATTATGAAGCAAACTTGTAAATAAAACGACGGTAGTTTGTATGTAGGTGTATGGGTGCTAACGCGCTCGTATGCATGTACGTATGCAAGATTATTAACATGTACACAGATGCCTTGCTAGGAATGATTATAATTATTGTTTTTGCAAGATAAGTTATTAAATTAACTGTTCAATGTGTTACGTTAACACTTGTTTGTATAAAAAAGACGTATTTTTCCTTGAAGAATAGTGTATTCCTGTTTAAAGATCATTTGATTTTACATGTTTGAACAATCTAATCTACGTAAAAGCCCATTGTACGATAAAATATTACTTAAATTTTCCTGCTGTTAGTATCTATCTATTGTTCCCGAGTGCAGTATTGTACTCGATTCTATGTGAGAAATGGTTATTATGTTGAAAATGTGTATCTGTTGTTTATGATTATAACATTTTCAAGTCATCTCAATGTGTGTGTGTAGGACTTTTGTATTTTAAACATTTTGAAGTTAATTTTTGTTGACTATATATACAGTATTGTATGAATTCTACTGAATTGTCGTCATCTCAATTTTACTTACTATAATTTTCTGGAAAAGTAAGGAACATTGAAAAGACAAACTTTGAATTGATTAATTCCAACAATTCGGTAGAATTCATACAATACTGTATAAAATATGGTCTAACATACACGCGAATATATATATATGTGTGGGTGTGTGTATATTAAACAATGTTGAATGAAAAACAAATAAAAAATTGTAAAAACCAAATTTCGAACTGATATGTAACAACAGAAATGAAATTAGAACAGCAAATATATGAAAAATATAAATGGAAAAAATGGCAAGTAATGAAGCCAATAGTGAATCTCAATATAAAAACAAACTTTTAAAACACATCTTGAAAAATGAACTTGTAACAAAATTTAGAAAAACGAAAGAAATTAAAAGAAAAAACTTTGATATAAACAAAAATGGTAAGTCGGCAGTCAAATGAGAAATCAAATGCTTATTTAGCTATACTATTTTGAAACTGTCTCCAGCCATGAAGCTCGCTATTACTTATTTTACTCTGCTCTAAATCTCACTTCCGTGGTACAAAGTTATTAATTTAAACGTAAAAAAAATTGATGAAAAACTGCAAAATAGTTAAAAAAGGTAAATGGAAAATAAAACTAACATACAAATAACAGTGAAATAAAACCGTGAAGTGTATATTACCAATAGGAATAGAACAAATTGAAATAAGTTGTAAAAAAATGTGATAAAAATATGACAGCCAATGGAAAAAAACTATACAATAGGTAGGAATTATTTTTCTATATTCGCTATCATCGTTTCAGCTATTGTCAGGTCGTACGCTTGAATTTCAAATTATTGAGAACTGATTATATCACATATTTTAAAATTGCAAAGTTATAACTGAAGAAAAAAAAAATGAAAACAAAAATCTACAGGGAAAAAAATGAAACTAGCTCTGAAAGTATATTCGAATCAATGAAATATACAAATAGAAAACGAAAAATAAAAAAATAAAACCATTTTAAAACTACTTAAACGTCAAGAAAATGAAAAAAATGAAAAAAAAACGAAGGTAGGTGTATTCGTTTCAAATTAACATAGGTAATAACACTCTTAACAATCGTCCAATTGATTAATTAACCAATCATCATAAATAAATCATCATCGTAGATAAACGTGAATAAAATATATATATATATATCCCTCCCACAGGCAGCAACATCTCTCTCTATAAATTGAATCTCCACTTATAAGGCATGGCTCTTGGTCTGTCAGCGCCTTCTTTAACAAGGGGCTTGTGAAATTCTCTACCCTGTCTGGCATGAACAACAGACCAACAATTCTCGCAAAAGTATTGCAAGCATGTGACGTTGGCACAGAAGAATGGGGCGTACTTGCCTGAGCCTGTTGTCTTGTTGCATTCATCGCATAGCTGATCGTCTAGGACGTATGGCTTCACTTCGACCTTGTTTTTAGGAATATAAATAAGTAGTAGAAAATAATTGAAAGAACAAGTATACATTTTGTATAAGAATGTTAAAAACGTATAACAATGAGTTGAAAGTTCAAATAAAAACAAAAAACAAACGAATCTTCCTTACGATCATCATATTCTTATCAAAGAACAAACTCCAGAACAAAAAGCAAAAATCCCCGAAACCTCCTAACTAACTCTCTTATCGATATCGGCATGCTGCAGTTGAACGAACCTAGCACTGACGGCAGCAATGTAACTCTGCTGATTGGAGAATGCAACTCTGCCGGCCCCCTTCGGATACTTCAGTTCGGGATCAGTGTCAATGCCAGCGTAACACACACCTCCGTACAAACGATCAATTATCGTCGCCAGTTCAACTGCGTTCATTGGGTAGCAAGGATGAATAGTTAAATATTTCAATATAAAACTGTCAGACAAATAAAATGCTTTGAAAAAGGTTAAGAAATGAATAGCTGATCAATTAAATAATTTATTTAATTGTAAATAAAATTAATTCTTCAAAACTTTACTAAACTTACAAGTGAATCATTTTCTGTATTTACTCTTATAACTCTTCTAAAACTTAGTTTGTCATCTACAACTTGGTCTCTAGATCTACTTCCTTCTAATTTATTCAAAGAATTTGAGTAAAGAAATATCATACAAACCAGCTTTGAGAGGCCTTGGAACACCGCCAACAAAAATTGTCTTCCTGGGATCCAATGGTAAACTGTTGTCCAACACAAAATCCGAATCTTGAAGGTTCCACACTCGAATTTGAACCTGGCACATGGGAGTATATATATGTATGTATGTATGAATTTATGAATGTATGTATGTATGAATGAATGTACGCATGTATGCTTGTACTGACAGATATAATTTCAAACATCACGATTTTTCAAATTATTGTTTAATTTTGTATGCTTAAACACTCCAACTTCTTATCATTCCTTTCCCTCACCAATCACCAAACTTTCTTACAAAGTCCTTTAAATGGTCACATAATTAATTATATTTCACTAATTCGAATTTCAAATCATTGTTTCATGTTCCATGCTTAAACATTCTCACTCCATTGTCATCTACTACTATTTATTGCCTTGCATGTTTTACCAGTTTCTACGTCTGTCAGATTCTGATTTTTTAAAGAATAATAATGATAATGAAAAGTTCCTCAACTTACAGGTTTATTCTTTATAGTGGGACTGGAGACAAACCAGAATAACTTTCCTTCGTTAAAGACACATACATCCAACAAATGCTGTACAGATAGCTCGTATTGGAATAGTAAGAAACAATAACCTTATAAAATAAGTTTTCATTATCATTTTCAATATCTTTATCATCATCATCATTATTTACCATATTTGTATTGTCAATATTATGTACAATATCCTATATTTAATCAACATTACCTTTCAGATCTTTTTAAACTAGAAGCATAGAACAACATGCTGACATGGATAAGATTAAAGTGTCAAACAGAATGTTAAACATGAAACATACAGAGTAAGAAACCAATTCAAAGAGTATAAATTAGTCTTCCTGATTCAATTGCAGAATGGCTTGCGGGACATATCAAATATGATTATAACAATAACTATAATAATAATTAAAATAATTATTACTATAACTATACTGAAGACCTTTTGGTGGGAAGAATGACTTGCTTTCAGCTTTATGTGGCCAGTTAACAACCAGAGGACCAAATTGTTGGAATGAAACTGATATCTCCTCTGTTTATCATTTAAGTTTATTTAATAGTATAATCATTTGTTTTTTTTTTTTGTTTAAATTATTTATTACATGGTAACAGAACTTTTAACAATAAATGAAGATAAATTAGAGATAAAACAAACCATCATCAATATCAGGAGGCAGGCCACCGACAAAAACTTTCCTGGAATACTTTTCAACATGCTGAGATGTTGCTGCTACAGGGTTACAATCCTCTTTTTGTAGCTGCTGCTGTCGAATTATGCTGTCGTCATCAGGCACTGACGTTGTCAGCAATCTTGTTGATGGAACTATTTGATCAGGAATTGTCAAATGATGCTGATGTTGTAGTAACTGGTGCAGCTGACGTTGCAGTTGTTGTTCCTGCTGATGCTGTTGATGATGTAATTTTTGGTCCATGTCATTAACTGGGATGCAACTCAGTGATGATGCAGGCTCGGGTGATAATGAACTTTCAAACAAACATTGGTTGGAGTAATCTAGAAATTGAAACATAGTCAACATATAATTTGAAACCATTGTTTCACAACAAGAATCTCACTACTTATATTAACATTATCATTATTCTACATACCATCAACATCAATAACACTAAACTATCAATAATAAATATAAAAAAGTTAACCATTGAATGAGATGGTTTGCTGACTACTGCTATTGATGTTATTGTTAATATTATTGTTGCTGGATAGGAAACTGTTGTCAGAAGATGATGAGAAAACCCCAGAAATGCCTGAATCATCAGCACCACATGAAGTGTTTGACATACTGTTTCTGACTTGCACACCACTGTCAATAATTTGAACATTTCTAGTTGTATTAGGAAAACTGTTTAGTCTACTGGTATTGTAGTTGACTGTGTAAGGCATGAGATGTTTTGGAAAAGGTGTATTGGTTCTTGATTTTAATATTACATGAGGTGTATTCAGTAGACTAATTTGCTTAATTGGTAGAATCTGTCGGCCAAGTAGGGATGTGCTGTTGAGAAGAGGTCTGTTAGTTTCATGTGCTTGTGTTTCCTTCGCTTGCTGTGGAAAATTAAAGAATTGTTGACAATTTAAATATTCTTGATTGCTGATCTGAATGCTGTTTACATTTCTTGCAAATGGAGATTGGGGTTGTTGCTGAAGATTTCTCAAATTATGTTCCAACTGATTTGATGCTAAATGTTGCTGCAATTGTTGAATTTGATGTTGTTGCTGAAGTTGGTGTTGTTGTAGTTGCTGTTGCAAGTTAGAATGCAACAAAAAGTTTTGAAAAGTTCTGCTGTGTTGAGCATTAATTGGCTGCATGAACTGGTTCAGAGGTGTTGACTGAGTGAAACTGCCAGCAGAATCATCAAATGATGAATTTAATAGTGCATCTTTGTCTTTGTCTGCTTTCCATTGAAAGTTTCTATTGGAAGATGATGTTGAAGCTTTGTTGTCAACGTTGTTATTGTCACTAGTTATATAATTAACATTACCAGTTTTTGAGTTGCTGTTAGTAGTATTGTTATTAGCAGAAGAAATACCCATTTGATAGAGCGACGTGACGATTGAATTGACGTCAAATTTTTCGCCATTATCATCAGAATTCGAAAAAGTTCTAAAGAAACTTTTGTTTTCAAGACGTTTACTTACGCTGCTACTACCGTTTCTAATATCACCATTTTGATGGTGGATGCCATAAGACGCCAAATCATTTTCGTCATCAAAGACGTCTAAATCGTCATATTTGAAATTTTCTAAGGAAATGATATCATCCGTCGACGACGACGATGACTTCTTAATGTCTGCCAACGTTCTAAAAGAAATATTTGTGTCTGAATTGGAAAAAAATGACAAACTCGCGTCTATCTCTATGCTGGTCAGATGATGATCCACAGGAGATAGCTGACAATCACTCATGATTCTTTTCAAATGAGCTTTCAACAAAAAATCAACAACAGCAACTAATAACGTTTAATAGTTTTTTATATTTTACTAAACCAATTTATTAAATTTAATTACAAATTAGCCTAAAAATTAGATGAAAAAATTTCCTAAAAATCGAACAACGCGCTCCTGTCTTGTAACGAAAGAATATTTTTGATCAAGCACGTGATGGTAATGCAGTCATTTGATAGGCTGTTGAAATCTCAACCTGCAATCTGATTGGTTAATTTTTGATGATTTAATCGCGAGCGTTCGACTGATATTTTGCTTTAGAGATGTCTTTTGAGAAAATTTTAATCAGATTTCTATAAAATTTTGATTAGTTTTAACAATTATATAATTGAAAATTATAATTTTGTTTTGTAAAATGTTGTAATTTACGTAAAAAACCTGAGCACGTAATAATTTAAATGGCAATATGAATATTCACGAAAGTTTTAAAAAGGGATGTAACTAATAACAATTAAAAAATAAACATCAGAATATATTTTGAAATTAGCAATCACTAATAGAAATTACACAGTTTAAAAATCTTTTTATTAAACTCAAACACAAAGAATCCCAAAGAATGAATAATTGAAGTTGAATTATCTTCCGTTAGAGACCTCCTCCTTATCTTGGATCAAAAAATAAACAAGATGAACGCATGTTTTCAACATTATTCGAGTCAAATATCTTAAAATTATGGTAAAATCTTCTTTTTCTACACACAAAATTATTGACGGAAGGTAGCCTAGTCTGAGTTCTAATACAGAAAGTTTTTCGGCTGTTCAAAAATCGTAATTTTGCTTGAAACATGGTCAAGGAGAAGCCGAATAGAATTTACGACGAAAATGGTTATCGTTTGAGAGCGGCATGTGTTTGCGTGAAGGACGAAAGCGAACGTGAGGTTAGATTGAGAGATATCTTAAAGAAATTTATCTATAATTAATTATCTTTTAAAGAAAATTATCTATAGTTATTTATTATCTGCCAAACTTGCATCTATAAATTTAAAATTTTAAAATTATTAATTTACTAGTGTTTGAACTTTATTAAAAAGAACTAAGGAGCGCTTCTCACTGTCACAGTTCTTTATTATGTAATATATATATGCTCAGTATAGTTCTAAACTATAGTAGTTTATTCTTTATTGTAGTAGTTTATTTAGTTGAATGCTCAGGCAGCTCACAACAAAGCTTCTAATTATTTTAGAATTTTTATATGCCAAATTTTTTAAAAATAACCATTAATAATATATTTTTAATAATTATATCTAGACCTGCATCATGCAAAACTAGAGTATAATTACTAATTAAACTTGTGATTAGTAACTGATTATTGATTTGGTTAGATTTTAGAGTGTTTAATTAATTTAAAAATCATTTAAGATTTAACTATGTTCTAACTTGCAGATTTTGCTGATATCAGCCAGTCGAAATAGAGATCGTTGGATAGTTCCTGGTGGAGGCATTGAACCTTTGGAAGATGCATCTGTAGCTGCAGTGAGGGAGGTGCATGAAGAAGCCGGTGTTAAAGGAATGATCAGTCGGTGTCTGGGAGTTTTTGAGGTTTGTTTCTACATTTTTTTATGATCATATGACCTTATAAATACCTTTGTTTTATCTATTTTTTTTTTTAACGTTAATCATTTATTCCAATTTTAACCTAAATTCTTTTTTACCTCTAAATAGAATTCTCACTGCAAAACTAAAACATCTGTGTACCTGCTCATTGTTGATCACCTCTGCGAGGAATGGGAAGAGAAAAGTCTTGGTCAGTAGTCTTCATCCCTAATCTCATCTTTAATCACTGATTTCTTCTGTTTACCATTTTAGTAGATTACCAATAAATGTCTTAAATAAAATTTTAAAAAACATTTGTGAATATAAATAAGTATAATACCTGTTTCCTTTCAGGTCGCAGAAGACAGTGGTTTTCAGCATCAGACGCCCATCGCCAATTAGGGATGTACCGACCAGAACAGGGAGCCTACCTCGAAATGCTGATTAGTCTCGGGGGCCAGCAAAATATCATGCACATCCCTACTTCCCCTGTTGTTAGGCGTTTCTGCATACCTCCAATTCCAGTGGCTGTTATCAATAATGTTCTCAGTCCCCAGAAAAATGGGATTGTGACTAACGCTGTGAAGGGGTGATGATGATGATTATAGGGGAAGTGATGATGATGAAGACGTTGGGGGCGGCCATCTTGTTATGATGAATCAATGCATTTTCACTAATTCTGTAATTTGTTTATTGTGGCTATAATTTTGATATGATCTATCTTTTTATTTGGCTTGATGAATGAATGAATAAATAAATGGTTGAATAAATGAATGAATGATTTATTGATTGAAACAGTCACATGAATAAATGTATGTGGATGCATGAAATAATGCATGCATGAGTGAATGAATGAATGAATGAACGATCAAACTGGATGAATTATGGTACCTCTAGTATTAATTAAGTTATCTATTCGATCCTTCACTCATTTATTCCTTTATTTTGTTCTTTATTTATTCTTCCATTCATTCATTACCGTGTCTACCTTATTGCTCTATTGCATCTATTTGTTTTCTTGTTTGTGTGTATGCATGTATGTATACGTATGTATTTTGATTTGATGTCCATTTATGTAACATTAGCTCAACATGTATGTCATCTTATTGTAACAAAACTCCATGTTAATTAACGTATGTAAACTTGTATGCTATATATTATATATATATAAATATGTGTGTGTGCGATTGTTTAAAAAATATGCAAAAAATTATTATTCCCCCAATTATAAATAGAATAATTTAAAATATATAAACATCAACATGTGCACGTATGCACATGCGTGTATTGCTAATATGACCAAATAATAATATTATAATTATTATTTACTTGTGTAGGTGTGTGGATGAGCGAGGAATAATAAAGCAATTAAATAACGAACGAGATTCATAAATTTCGCTCTCTTTAATATTTCTAACTCCAAATGAACAAACCAATATAAATAAGCACATAGTGTATGTTTAGCACACATACATACATACATATATATATATGCATGTGTGTGTGTGTGTAACGCTTGTACGTGTGTATATATATATATATATATATGTCTGTGTTTTCGTGTGTGTTACAAAAGTCTGTGTAATTAGCTTAGCGATAATGATGACGACAAACACTGAAATATATCAACAATAAAAAATGAATCACCCTCTACTTGTGTTATGCTAATTATATATATATATATATATATATATATATATATATATATATATTATATTTATCAATTAAAACCAAACTGAGAGAATATATATATATATGTGGGTATAGCAGATATATATGTATATGTTTGTTTGTATGTATGTGTGTGTACGTACGTGTATCACTATTGAATTATAAAGTATAATCATTATAACAAGAACAATACAAATAAATAAATTTTTGACGAAATGTTTTTCAAACTGAGACAGATAGTACACACATAACGTACACATATTCTAGTGTATTCTATAGCGTATACACTATATATACACACATAGTATATATATGTATAAATCTATATATATATATATATATATATATATATATGTTGGAAGGAGACCATATTTTAGACAGTATCGTATGAATTGAATTCTACCGAATTGTTGGCATTAAAGTTAATTTAAAGTTTGTCTTCAATTTTCCTCATTAGATTTTTAAATAGTGTCCTTTGTTGCGATGAAATAAGTTGTGATAATAATGATAATAATAAAACAACAATAACAACAACTAATATAAGTATTTGTTGTTGTTTTTGTTGTTGTTTTTATTGTTTTTCTGGGTTTCAATGCATTTGTTTGCATCCATCCATCAAACAAAAAGACAGCCGATCAATACGTGGCAATACAGTACGTGCTATCAATTAGACAAGGAGAAAAATCAATAAAACCAAACGGATGAATGAATGATTGATTGAATGAATGATTGAATGAATGAATGATTGAGTCCGTGAGTGAATGTATAAATGGATAGATGAATTAATGAACGAGTGATTGAATGAACGAATGTAAAAGTGAAAAAAGGACTGATAACGAATAAATAAATGAATGAGTGAATATTAGCTATATTTTTGTATTTTGTCAACACCTGGTCTAGGGTACCACTCACTTAAGTTTTTTTTAATGATGATGCCGGCTCAATGCTGTCGTTGTTATCATCATCATCATCAATATGACTGATGATTGATTGATTGAATGAGTGAGAGGATGTATGAATGAACGAACGAACGAAAACGGCATGAATAACATTTGGTTAGTAGTATTGATTCTGTGGTAGACATAATCTACATTTACTTTCATTCATTCGTATATCTAGGTTAGTTATAAATTATTTATTCATTTATTCATTCATTCATTATCCATCCATCCGTCTATCTAGTAATCTCTCAACTGTCATATCCATCTATCCACTCATCAATCAATCAATCAAACAATTAATCAATCATTAATCAGGACTGCTTTATCCGAATCATACATTCACCTATAAACTAACAATAAACCATCGTTTGATCTATTTACCATTCATTCAATTATGGCCATTCGCTTATTTATCAATCGATCGATCAACCAATCAATCATTCGATCGATCAATCAATCAATCATATTTTCTTCTTAGGATCAGCGCTGAATGTTGCCGACCAGGGCGATAGTGGTGGCGACTGTGATGGCGATGAAGACAACGACAAAGGCAGCTGAGTGAACGACGGCGATGATGACGATCTTTGGTTGTCATCATCGTCGTCGTCGTCATCATCACTATAATCATCATCCACAACACCACTGGCGACAACTTTTTTCCTCGTCCTATTTTTTAAAGATGTCGTGCAGAAGAGCAGGAGCTCTTGAACGAACTGCTCTCTACATACTTTATTAACGGCCACAACTTTTGGAGATGGTGTCGCCGAGAATGGTTGTGGCTGCTGGTGGCGATGATGTCTGCGCTGTTTAGTTAACACGACGTTAGACAGCGACGGTGACGACGAAGATGACGTCAGAGCTGCTGCCGATGACGTCGCCACGGTAGAGGAGGAGGAAGAAGAGGACGTTGGATCAGGTGGCTTGCTACTTGTGAATCTGAAAGGTTGAAATATTAAAATTTTAAATATTTAAATTTACAATGATGATTCTACTAATAAATCATAACATTCATAGTAGAAAATTTATAACGATGAAATGAACCAAAGACACTTCAGAACAAAAGACAGACTATTACTGACGAATTGAGTAAATATTTGTTTGAATCTTTCTTAGCCGATGGCAGAGCTGATGCTATCACGGATGACGATGCGGTTGTAACGGGCGCTTCAATTTTTTTGTTCGTCGTTGTCGTTGTTGCGGGGTTTGCAACTAACTCTAACTCAGAGTATAAGTTGCGAATGTGTTGGTACTGTCTGTCAACCGATGTTGATGACGAGTGCGTTTTGCTGTTTATGTGTGGATATGTGTGTGTGTGTGTGTGTGTGTGTGCGTATTGATGGATGAATGGATGGATGGATAGTTAGATAGATAGTTAGATAGATAGATAGTTAGATAGATACGTACTTAGCAGCAGATGACAACTGCACTTCCAACTGTTGTAAATGGCTTGCGACGCCCTGCGTAGTGCCAGCCAGCCTGCCTCGGACGCTACTAAGATGCGACAACAGCTCTGCCAGTGTTTGTGTGGGTAAAAATTAACTTTTATGCGGAATCATTTCAATTTAATTCTACATTTTATAAGAATCAACACATCCCTATTTCCTAACAGTTAACTGTAGTATATAAAGATATCATTATATTTACTCTAGATTTTATGAAAAATAAGTACCCATCTCTATTTCCTAACCAGCTATGGGGTCGATTACGTAACTTTCCCTAAAACCCCCAGGAGCCAAAGCAATGGCAGGATCGATGAGATGCAGAAGCGAACCCCTGGTCAGGTTGCGAGCAATGTCGCTGCTTGATTGGTTGGTGCCCGACCTGGCTGCCACTGATTGGCTGTTGGATGATATCCTAGTTCCTGAGAACTGAGTGTTCGGGTTGTGCTGGCGATAGTAACGCAGTCGATCTGACGCGTGATTGGTCGGTAGGAGGAAATTTTTCAAAGATGAATCATAAATTATTCACCGAATAATTGAAAATTGACATCGTTAAGGTGAATAAAACTGCATTCAGAAAATAAAAACAACAATAAACACCATTTTATTAAACTTAAATATTAAAAAAGTATTAAAAATATAAAAACTTTGACAAGAGTTAAAAAGGATATAGCATTATTGAGGACAGAGGTGGTAGTGCTATTAGGAGCGTTGTTGTTGTTGTTGTTAATAGCAGGAGCCGATGAAGAAGAGGAAGATGGCGATTCAGTGGTGAGAACAGGGTGCGCTACGATCAAATGGTCTTCTAAATTATCTATGCGCTGGTTCGAATGGTTGTCGTGATGGCAGACACATACTGAACAGATCTGTGGTGTATGTGTATGTGAGAGTATGAATGTGTGTGATGGAGTGTGTGCGTGTGTGAGTATGTGTGTGTGTGAATGCTTTAAAGAACTCCAACAAACATTGTGAATAATTAAATTTGGATACAGAGAAAAAAATTAATTGCAAATGCATTAGCAACTATAAAAAACTAAACAACATATAAAAATGTATTAAACACAAAATCAAAAACACCAACAGCATCAAAAACACCTTCAAGAATGATGACATCAACATACATCAACATCAACATACCACGTCTGGTAGCAAACTATCTGAATGATCTCCCTGTACATGGTCAAGCAGATCACCAGCATTAAATCCTAACTGACCACAGTATGGACAGCTGTAAGCTTCAGACGTCATTGTTGAAGAACCACCATATATAATATCTTTGTTTGGGAATGGTGGATTTAGATTAGGAATAATATAGAATTTAAATCATAGTTTTATTACATATTTTTTGGAATTAGATTAGAAAGAATATAAACTTGTTTGTTCATTTATTTAAAATTTTTTTCATTTTATATAAATTACTTACAAAATCAGTCAATTAGTGAAAATTTAACACTTTAGTAATTTAAAAATAATTTGAAAAAAAAATTTATTGATTTGTAGACATACTTGCATCATTTTTAGTGAGCAAGCACTGCATGGGGTGGTCTGCCGTGTGGTCTGATGCAGTCGCACCCCGGTTGTAACACTGCGAGCAGAGATCAAAGTCATAGCATCTCAGACACTTGTAACGTAGGCCAGTGAAGTTGTGCTGCGTACAGACATCGCAACTAACGCCTGAAAATGAATTAGGGGTATTTGAAAATGAGATCATTTGAAGAACATAAATATATTAAGTAATGTTCAATTTCAATAGAACTCTAGTTAGTTATTTTATTTAATTATTAAATTTATAATTAGACATTTTATAATTAAAAAAAACATTTAGGTAAGAGTAATGTGAAAATCACAACTGGTTTATTTGGCTTCAACCTTTTGAATTTAATAAAATAACACTGGAATTGGAGAGCAATATTGAAATTCAGTCTAGAACTTTAACTAATTACTAACTTCTTAAAAAACCCAATAAGATAAAATAAAAAACTTCCTACTGAAATTACAAACTTTACTATAAAAACGTTCAGCCTTTTTTACAATATAAAAAGCAGTAGTAAAAAACTACTTATTAAAATATTGAAAAAAGATATTTCTATTAACTAAAATAAATTCTTTAAACTAATTTATATTGCTAGACATGTTCGCTTTTGTTTGTTCATTCAGAAAAGAAACCACTCACCTTCATGATAAGACATTGTCTGGAAAGTTAAACTATTTTTAAAATACAATCACTTATGAATACGTAAATAAATTGAATAAACGGCCGAAATTAGTGAATTAATGAAAGCGGGGCGGTTTTTTGTTAGTTTAAATGATAAATTAATAGGATTTCAGACGTCTGATTTAGGTTTAGTTTTAAATTTTAGTCTATCTAATTTTATCCAGAAACCTTTTATTTTATCTAAATAAATTTTGTAGCGCTTTTTTATAAAAAAAACATTTATTATTAGATATATAATAAAAGTTTATTTCTATTTAACTTGATATCTTCTTAATAAAACTTTTAATTATTATAAATTTATTATTAATAATAATAACAAAATCAACAAGATCAGCAATAACAACTTAAACAATAAAACACCATTAAACACTTGAACTTAATGAAATAAGAGCGAATTAACCACTTGAAAATTCTTAATAGTAAATTAAAAGAAGGATAATATTGATGATCAAAAAGAAAGAACGCTCAATATATCTAGATTGTTTAAAATAATCCAACTAGTAAATAAGTTTGAGGATAAATTAAAGAAAAATGTGAATGTAATAAAAAATGTAACTTTCTTGGTAATAATTTTTGAACTTATTTTAACTACAAGCTCTACTGTTAACCATGAAAGTGTCTATTCATCATTGTCGTCGTCGTCATCATTTTCACCATCACCATTATCACCATCGTCATTATCATCGTCTTCATCTTCCTCGTCATCATCCTCTTCTTCCTCATCACGTCAACATCGTCATCAACAGCATCAACAGTCTGTGTGTGTGCGTGTGTTGGTGTGTGTGTGTGTATGTGTGCAATTATATATATATATATATATAAATTATACCGTTTAATGCAATCCGAAACCATTCGAAACTATTCGAAACTATTCGAAACTATCCGAAACTCTCCGAAACTATCCGAAACCAACCAAAACCGTTAGACTGTTCAATTTTTGCCTTGTATTTTTGCGAGTTTTTACAGAGCCATAATAATATAAACAATAAACACACTTTCAGGAAATACGTTAAAAAGCAAGATGACGATGATGACGCAGAAGATGATGACGAAGACGACGACGATGATGATGATGATGATGATGATGATGATGATGATGATGATGATGATGATGATGATGATGATGATGATGATGATGCGTGCTTTTGAGATATTTACCATCATAAATATTAATAATACATTGAGTCTGCCTGCCCAGCATAATTAATCGTTTCCATATTGCTGTTATTATTATTATTGTTGTTGTTATTGTTGTTGTTATTGTTGTTGTTGTTGTTATTGTTGTTGTTGTTGTTATTGTTGTTGTTATCATCATTCTTCTTTTAATCATTAGCATCCTGTTTCTAAGATCAATGCATCTTATATATGTACATATATGTATCCATGCATGTATGTATATATACATATATTTATATATATGTATATATGTATATATATGTAGATACACATATATTTATATATATGTATATATGTATATATATGTATATACACATATATTTATATATATGTATATATATGTATTTACATATATATAAGTATTGTTTTTCCCACGCTGAAACAATTTCGAGGTATTTTTCTTAGCACCAACAATAACATCGTCATCATCTTTGCCGCCACCATCATCATCATCATCATCATCGTCGTCGTCGTCGTCGTCATCATCATGGAAGGTTCTAGAAACTTCGAGAAGGATTTCAACTGGGTAAGGAGTTTCAGCGAACGCGTTCGTGGTGGCGTTATAAGCAGGCTATACCAGAAAGATAATAACAGCAGAGCAATTAAAAACAATGGTAGGTCGGTATGTCTATGTGTGTATGTTTATGTATGTATGTATTTACGTGTGTGTTTGTGTGCGTGTGTGTCTGTTGTTTTCTACGTGTGTGTGTGTACGTGAGTGTGTGTGTTTGTGTGTGTGTTTTGCGTGTACGTGTGTGTTTGTGTGTGATTCCTTAGCAACAACAACAACGACGACGAAACTATAATGACGTCAACCTCAGAAAGCGAACTGGCAAAAGTTTATGACTGGCTGATACAGGCTGGATTCCCTCAGTACGTACAACTGGATTACGATGGTCGCCAAAGTCAACAACAACAACAACAACATCAACAACATCAACAAATCGATATGACGTCATAT